CCTGCTTCCTGATACCGGAAGTTCCGGTATCAGGATAGGCTTCGGGAGCATTTGGGCGAGTATTTGCCCAAATACTCGGTATCGCCACCGATACTAATATCGTTATCGGTGCATCCCTACTGAAGATGACTTAAACCCCCCCCAGAATGATATATTTCCTGAAAGCAGAGAATAAAATGGCGGCAGTGCCGAGGTTGCCTACCCCTGCGCTAACCTGTAACAGGTTGTGAAATGCATTCTCTGTCCTACAACGCATCTTGCTCCTGGAGCTCTGTTGTTTCATGTCGTCACACACCGCACATTAGCCGGACCCGGAGCATAAAGCAACGCTGGAAATGTCACCATCTACCTCTCTCCATATAATATACAACCCTGCAAAGGCTCCGAGCCGGAGCTGAAAACAGCTGCTCTCCATTAGGAAGACATTAGCGGTGAGTATTAGGCAGGAACGGTTTACGAGGACGCATTAGCAGAGCACTTCCATTACTGCTCGGAGGAACGCTCTAAAACGTGTTTACTAAGGTGGCAAATGCTAATCGCACGAGCCGCGCGTCCCACAACTCTGCCCATTATACCCGAATTTCTAATGAGCGCATCAGAATCTGTCGGCCTTCCAGCCACACAGGTGGATATGACGTTATCCCCCATTCAGCGGAATGCGGTGTAGGAGGGGGGCGAACCCCTGACATTTGCCGTGTCAGCACAAAGGTCTGAACCGTCATTCAGGTCACAGGCTGGTGGCACAGCCAGGAGCAGTGACTGAGTTCATGGTTTGCCTCTTGTAGGATATATATATATATGTATTGTACAAGATATACACTAGACCCGTTTCAGTCGTTTACATTTACATGCATGTAGAGCACATTTCCTGCATGTAGTTAGAACAATTGTAAATAGACCCCAAAGCCTGCCTGGTAACATTGCAAAATCTTCAGTGGTATCAGGCCGACTTCAGAGTCTATTTATAACCAATCTGCAGAGACATTCACCTTACGAATCTTTGTGAATGTTTCTTCTGTGTGAATGGACACAAAAACAAACGTTGTTAGTATATTTTCTTTTCAGGACAAATGTATATAATGTAATACCGCATTATGGCCACTAGGTGGAGCATAGGCGACTGAATGCAAATCGGAATGGATCAGAAATGGCGATGATTGATCTATTGGGACAACAAATGACCTATTGGGGGACAACTAATCTATCCGGGTGACAAATAATCTATCAAGGCGACAACTGATCTATCAGGGTGACAACTGTAAAGGAATCACCAGCATCCTGAGCTCCAAGAATGTCAGACTTTGTTTACTGACATCCAATCAGGTCTCACAATGCTCGGCAGTGAGTGACTTTGTTCGCCTGAAGAAGGAACCGTTGTGCATTCCGAAACGTTGCTATGCATTGTGAGACCTGATTGGATGTCAATAAACAAAGTCTGACATTCTTGGAGCTCAGGATGCTGGTGATTTCTTCACTTATTACTGATCTGCGGGCGGCACCATCCGCACTCACTGCAAGACCCACCATCCTTCCCTTGGATCCTTTCCAGTTAGGAGTGCGATAGGTTCTGGACTCAACTGGGGACAACTGGTCTATCTGGGTGACAACTGATCCATCTTAGTGACAACTGATCTATCTGGGTGACAACTGATCTATCAGGGGATAAATTATCTATCTGGAGGAGGAAGGCTTTTTGTTACATATTATTGTAATCATCGGTCCCCCGCGGCCTCTCCTCCCCCCCGGGCTCCGGTGGTCTAAGCTCTGCTGATGTCATCACATCTAGTACCGTCCATTCACCTGCATTAGACATCAGGACGCTGAGGGACATTCCACAGCAAGAGCCGGGATGGGGGGGAAGGGGGGGGGAGCACAGGCTAGAGAATCAGGTGAGTATATCTTCTTTATTTGAGCCCCATAGGGAAACATCTGCAGTTAACCCTCGCAGTACAGGGGTAGCCCCACTGCAAGGGTTCATTTCTCTAAAACCTGGAGCTCTTCTATAAGCATCTACACGGATTGTGGCCACAAAGGGTTAAAGATTTGTTTACGTGAACCGGCGTCTATTTTCCATTTACCGATCCTTAAAAGTGGCGAT